TCCTGACCTCAAGTGTTCCGGCCTCCTCGGCCTTCCAAAATGCTGGAATTGCAGGCATGAGTCACTGCACCAGGCCAGCAGTTGTGTTTTTACTGTCTCTTTAATAAGTAAGCATGTTGCCTTTGTCAGAATATTTTCTGTTGTGAATGTGAACATTGCTTTCACCGTCAGAAACAGCACTACCATTTACCCTTCATTTTTTCCAGGATTTCTGATCTTCTGCTAAATACTGCAGGCATAAGATGGCCCTTAGGGCCAAGGTGATGTCTTTGGTCTTGGTTTAGTTTAAGACAGACTTAACATGATGTTTTCCATTACACAGTGAAAAAGCAAGAACACAAAACCAGGCACTGCTGTTAGGTCTGTGTTTCACACATTGTGGTTACTTTCTAATTATTTTAAAAGAAAGAAGAGAAAGGAAGGGAGAGATGGAAGGAGGGAGTAAAGGGAAGAAGAGAAAGAAAGAAGCAGGAAAGCAGGAAGGGAGGGAGGGAGGGAGGAAAGAAAGAGAAAAAGAAAGTTGAGGCTCAATTTTCTGATACAGTCTGGCACATCCTGATGCTCCCTCTCTTTTTTAAGCATCTGTACTTCACTTGCTGTGACTTAAGAGGCTAAAAACGTTATTCTGATATTATTTTTATAAGAGTGGCAGCAAGAACTAAATTAAAATGTTTTCAATTTAGGCAAAATCAGCCAGGCACGGTGGCTCACGCCTGTAATCCCAGCCCTTTGGGAGGCTGAGGCGGGCGAATCACTTGAATTCAGGAGTTGGAGACCAACCTGGCCAACATGGTGAAACCCCGTTTCTACTAAAAATATAAAAATTAGCTGGGCACCGTGGCACATGCTTGTAATCCCAGCTACTCAGGAGGCTGAGGTATGAGAATCACTTGAACCTGGGAGGTGGAGGTTGCAGTGAACTGAGATTGTACCACTGCACTCCAGCCTAGGTGATGGAGTGAGACTCTGTCTCAAAAAAAAAAAAAAAAAAAAAGGCAAAACCTGTTTAAATGGTTTCTGAATTCGTGTTCTGCCTTGGTCATTGGAGATGCATCCTTTTGAGAGCATTTGATCCTTAGTCATTCTTAAAGTCGAGATGATAATTTTTTCTTCTTTCATTCTTGGGAGTAAAGAACTTGGCTTTTATTGGTAGAACTGTTAGGAACTGAAAAACATAAAGGGTGACTAGTCTCAGAGACAGAATTTAAAAACTGATAGCCCATGGACAGGTCTGGTTTTCAGAAATGTTTTATTTGGCTTTTATTGTATTTTGAAATGGAATTAGTTGCTAACACTTAAAAATTAGGAGATATCATGTAAAATCCAGATTTTTTGTTTTCTCAAAAAAAAAAACAAAAAAGAAAAAAACAAAAAAAATGACAATGTAAGAAAGACAGCAACTGGCTGAGGTTAGGTAGTGGTTGCTAACTTTGAACTGGTTAGACTTTCTCTCCTCCACCTAGTTCTTCTGCAGCTGGCTTTTCTGGCTGTTATCGACCTGAACAGTAGGTATTTGCATTTGCAGTTTCTTCATTAATATTTACTAAGTGGTTAGTACTTCATGGTGTTACTACAGATGTAATATGTTGCTATGTCTTTATAAGATACTTCCATAGTTACTGTTCTTAACTGTAAGAATTTATAAGAATCCACCTGGAAACTTATAAGGATAGAAAGAATGATTATATATAACCTCACAGAATATAGACTGACATTATTCAGACTCTTATTGCACCAATTCACATAGGTTTCATGGCGCTCTGATGTTTATGCTTCATTGTGAACATGATTTTGACTAGATCTATGAATGAAGTATTTTTAAATTATGTGATTTAGATATATCTCAAGAAAGTAAACTCACTCAAATGTAATTAAATTGTTGAAACGTGAAAATACCAAAATTTTGGAAAATTAACATTTGGTCAAATAATGCATTCTATAGGAGGATGGTTCTGTGTTTTTTCAGCAGAAGATGAAATAGATGGCCAGGCACAGTGGCTCACGCCTGTAATCCCAGCACTTTGGGAAGCCAAGGCAGGTGGATCACCTGAGGTCAGGAGTTGAAGAGCAACATGGCCAAGATGGGTGAAACCCCATCTCTACTAAAAACACAAAAATTAGTTGAGTGTGGTGGTGGGGCATACACCTGTAATCCCAGTTACTCGGTAGGCTGAGCACAAGAATCACTTGAACCCAGGAGGCAGAGGTTGCGGTGAGCAGAGATCGTACCACTGCACTCTAGCTTGGGGTAACAGAGTGAGACTCGGTCTCAAACCCCTCTCCCCACCAAGCAATGAAATAGATAAAATATTTCCTTATTAAGAATCTGAAAACATAATTTAATGTCTGAATTTATCTTTACTTTGACTGAATTAAAAGAAAATAAGCAAAAGTGAATCCAATATTTAACTGAGACCGATATTTCTGTCTCTAAGATTTTACTTTGGAATCAGTTCATGGTCTCTTTACCTTTTTGTTTTGTTTTGTTTTTCAGTGAGGAAATTATGATGGTAATTCCTGTTCTATGGAAACTGTTAGATTATGTTATCTGAAGGCTCCTAACCATTTGCTTGGTTTGGTTTTAAGGCTATGTACTTTAAAGTTTAATTAATATAATTGAAAAAGGTTTGCCTTTAGAAGATGAGTAATTTGTTTTCTTAACCTTATGAAGGAAAGGTGACATGTAAAACAAATGAATTACACTGTGAGGATTAGGCGGGGTGCAGTGGCTCACACCTGTAATCCCAGAACTTTGGGAGGCCGAGGCGGGTGGATCACATGAGGCTAGAGTTCGAGAGCAGCCTGGCCAACATGGTGAAACCCCATCTCTACTAAAAATACAAAAAATTAGCTGAGTGTGGTGGCCCGTACCGGTAATCCCAGCTACTTGAGGCTGAGACAGAAGAATCACTTGAACCTGAGAGGTGGAGGCTGCAGTGAGCCGAGACTACACCATTGCTACAGCCTGGACAACAAGAGTGAAACTCTGTCTTACAAAAAAAAAAAAAAAAGCAAACATTGTAAGGATTAAGTTAGAAATTGAGCCCTAAAAGAAGTTTGAAGTAAACTCTTGACTTGACTTACTTGAGAGTTTATAGGAATGTTAAGCAAGAAATCAGGCTTTTTTTTTTTTTTTTTTTTTGAGACAGAGTCTTACTCTATCACCCAGGCTGGAGTGCAGTGGTGTGAGTTCCACTCACTGCAGTCTTCACCTCTGCCTCCTGGGTTCAAGCGATTCTCCCAACTCAACCTCCTGAATATCTGGGATTACAGGTGCGTGCCACCATGCCTGGCTAAATTTTGTATTTTCAGTAGAGACGGGGTTTTGCTGTGTTGGCCAGGCTGGTCTCGAACTCCTGACCCCAGGTGATCCACCAGCCTTGGCCTCCCAAAGTGCTGGGATTGCAGGCATGAGCCACCATGCCCAGCCGAACTGAGTTTCTTTAAAAAGCAGGAGAAAGCACTGTACTGTACATGTCTAAATATAAGGTGATACAAAGACTTGGATGTTCACATATTTTCCTAATGGGATATTTTGCATGCATAAAACTTGTAGACATGGATATAAAATAGTTAAATATCTACCCACATTTTAATGTATTAATTTACTTCCACGCATACCTTTTTAAAGTCACATATTACATAAAGTATTAATTTAGAAATACTACTTTGTTCCACCCTTACAGTTCATTGACTTTATTCAGATGCTTCACATGTGATTTGGCATCAGTGTCTGTCATCACCAACTCCCCTGTTTTGAGTCATCTCACCCAGTTGTCCAGCACACATCATTTCTGCCTAAATTTTTTAAGACTCAGCATTTTTTTTAATAAAACCATGATTCTGTCACTGTTAACTATATGCGAAGCCACCATGCCATTTGTATAATAGGGAGACAATTATTTTTTTATGTGTTCTATAGGTGAATATGTTTGATCTCTAGCTTCTTAAAGTTATCTTTAATGGACTTTTACATAGTCATGTCCAGCATTTGCAATCATAAGAAATAATTGCTAAATTTGTATGGATTTTTTGCTTTCAAAAAGAGATCTTGTTAGATTATGTTACACCTGTAAGCATTTAACACTAATAATGATGGGATTGTTTCAGCCCCATTTCTTTACTCCAAACCAAACTTTGTTTTTCATGATAGAATAATACAGAGACTTGGATAAGGATTTGGCTATGAGGTGACTGTCTTTCCTGAGACATTATCTTAGGGAAAGAAAAATACTTGCCTTGTGCTTGTGTATATGTGATACTTACTTTCTTTTCTCTTTCAAAGTATTCTTTAAATCTTTATTAAAGTGCAATATAATGTAATAAAGCAGATAACCTGGAGAGAGGGTGAACTTCATTTAATGGCAAGTTGAGGTGATGTTCTTAATTTTGTTATTTTTTTTCTTATCTGAGTGCATAGCACAATGTTTAAAATATCAATTTCTTAAAGAAACATTTCTATAAAAATAGCAAGTGAGTCAATAAATGGATATACTATGTGGTAGACATTTTTTAATGAACATTTCCATAGTTGTATAATAATATTTATGTGAGCTTTTTACTAGAAGGTAGCACTTAATTTGTCAGGAGATGTTGTCCTTGTCATTTCCTGATAACCATTAACTACATACTACGGAAGATAAGAACAGCTGGCGCTTTTATAACAAAGGGTGATTGGGGAGATGATAGAGCTTGGGGATCTAAGAGGATTTAGAATGGTCAGTGGTTTCTGTCTTGGCTGTTTAATGAAATGCTTACTTTTAAGAATTTTAACAAATTGAAGTGGCAAATATTTTTACTTTCTTTCATATGTTCCATGAAAAAAACCTATTGTAACATTTTGCAGAAAAGAATGTCGCTTTTATGCTGGAACTTCCATCATTGTATGAAAAAATGTTTATATTATTAACATACCAAAAGTATAATTCAGTTCTACATATATTAGCAATAAATTGTACCAATGAAAATAATGATGAATTATCACTTTTATCTCTTAACAGTGGAAAGAGTGGAACGAGAAAACCTTTCAGACTATTGTGTTCTGGGCCAGCGTCCAATGCATTTACCAAATATGAACCAGCTGGCATCCCTGGGGAAAACCAACGAACAGTCTCCTCACAGCCAAATTCACCACAGTACTCCAATCCGAAACCAAGTGCCCGCATTACAGCCCATCATGAGCCCTGGTCTTCTTTCTCCCCAGCTTAGTCCACAACTTGTAAGGCAACAAATAGCCATGGCCCATCTGATAAACCAACAGATTGCCGTTAGCCGGCTCCTGGCTCACCAGCATCCTCAAGCCATCAACCAGCAGTTCCTGAACCATCCACCCATCCCCAGAGCAGTTAAGCCAGAGCCAACCAACTCTTCCGTGGAAGTCTCTCCAGATATCTACCAGCAAGTCAGAGATGAGCTGAAGAGGGCCAGTGTGTCCCAAGCTGTCTTTGCAAGAGTGGCATTCAACCGCACACAGGTACAATTAGCATTGAACACTGTAATTAACAATAATGCCGGGGACAGAATTGAGATAGTCATAATTATTTTTATCTGTTTAAAAAATTTTATGGAGCTCAGCACATAGAATTAGATTAATTAATAATCCTTAGTTAAGGAAACACTGTTACCATTGATCCATGCATGACCATGATTAATTTACTAATTGTTCAATTTTAATGATGTAATGGACATCTTTGAACCCAACGTGCAACTCAGGACCCCAAATGTTACTAATGACTTGGGTATGTACTCTCATCCTCTCCATTTACTGTTTCCAGATGTAACCCTGATCTTGAATTTTGTGATTATCACTCTCTTGCCATTTTTTTTTTAAACAAATTATAAAACTATGCATGCCCAATCCATTTTTTCCCTTGGTTTTGAACTTTATAAAAGAAATAAAATTATGTTTTATAATTTTATAAGTAAAGTTTTATTTAAAAATTTATAAAAGTCCTTCAAAACATACAAGTTAGATTTAAGATATTGATAAAATGATACTGGATAGTTTACTCTTACTTTAATGTTTGAGGGAATATAACATTACATGTTGAAAATGTAAACAGTTAATTCACACATGTCTTATTTTTATTGAGGGTGCTTATATGTAAGAGATTGTTTTCCACCAGTAGTTCTTAAACTGGAGTGTGCATCAGAATCACCTGGAGGGCAGTGAAAACACAGACTGCTGGGCCTCATCCCACAGTTTCTGATTGAGTAAGTCTGAGGTTGGACTCAGCAATGAACCTTTCTAACAAGATCCTAGGTGATTATGATGGTAATGATCGGGGGCCACATGTTGAGAAACACTTACCTAGCCCTTATATGAGTAAGAACAAAGCAAATGTGCATAACCTCAGGGTGCTAACGATCTAGGGGTGAAAACCAGGTAACCAGATAACTCGAGTAAAATGTGAAGTGTGATGAGTAATGTTGGAGAGTGTAAGCAGTGGTTGTGGTGGAGGATCATGGCGAGGTGGAGGTGAGGAATACTTCCAGGAGAATGAATACCATAAGCCTTCAAAACAATAGGTTAAAGTTTCAGCACCCTGGTAAACACAAGGCAGGAAGCTAAGCTCTGTGTAGATGCAAAAAGGAGAAAAATAATGGGCAAGCACATATGTAAACAACACGCTAGAGTATTAGGTTGTCAAGGGGTTAGACCTTGAAGGATAAATAAAGTACAGCAGGCAAAGATGATGAAGAAGAGGAGTATTATTTTAAACTAAAGAAATTCATAGTAAAAATGTTGAGTTAAAAAATGTAGGAATAATTTGAAGACATAAAACAACTCATTTCTGAGAAAAACTGTATGAATGTACAGAATGTAGGAATGCCTTCATTAATCTGATATCTGTTCAGAGACACATGATAACACACACTATAGATGGACCTTACAAATAAAAGAAAGCATGCCGGATTGAAACCCCAGTAGTTTGGAAAATACAGGAATGTTTCCAGATTTAATTACTTCAAAAGTTAAGGGGCTGGGCGTGGTGGCTCATGTCTATGGTCCCAGCACTTTGGGAGGCTGAGATGGGCAGATCACTTGAGGTCAGGAGTTCAAGACCAGCCTGGCCAACATGATAAAACCCCGTCTCTGTTAAAACAAAACAAAAAAATTAGCCGGGCATGGTGATGCGTGCCTGTAGTCTCAGCTACTTAGGAGGCTGAGGCAGGAGAATCACTTGAACCCAGGAGGCAGAGGTTGCAATGAGCCGAGATCGTGCCACTGCACTCCAGCCTGGGTGACAGAGTGAGACTCCATCTCAAAAAAAAAAAAAAAAAAAAAGTGAAAACTCTCACTGGAAAGAAATCTGATAAATGTTGGTAAATTGGATTGCCTGATGCAAGTTAACACTCAAAAAATGCACCTAAGTGAAATGTTATACCAGTTATAAATATTTTACATTTATCAGTGGTTCATTGTTAAAGAGGGTCGTCTGTTTACTTTTGGTTTCCACTTCTTTTGCAAGAAAACATTGAGGTAAGAATTTTGTAGATACTGTTTAAGCAATCCTGCGTGAGTTAAATAGATAGTGTTTTTGTTAAGTCAGTTAATACAGTTTTTCTCTTTTTTGAAAGTGTGTTGGATCTCTGGTTGAATTGAAGTGTATTTCTGTTGTATAGGCAATTTTAATTTTTATTAGTTTTGAAATTGTCCTATGATTAATGAGTCATTGAAAAATGAGTTTTTGTGCCGAGTGCGGTGGCTCATGCCTATAACCCCAGAACTTTGGGAGGCTGCGGCTGGCAGATCACGATGTCAAGAGAGTGAGACCATCCTGGCCAACATGATGAAACCCCGTCTCTACTAAGAATACAAAAATTAGCTGGGCGTGGTGGCTTGTGCCTGTAATCCCAGCTACTTGGGAGGCTGAGGTAGGAGAATCACTTGAACCAGGAGGTGGAGGTTGCAGTGAGCCGAGATTGCGCCACTGCACTCCAGCCTGGCAACAGAGCGAAAAAAAAAGAAAAATGAGTTTTTGTTAATGGTTGGGATTTTCTTACTGGCCTCATGTGGCAAGTTTTGGTTATCTCTCATTATATATATTTTACCTTTTTATGGGAAAAACTACTCTTTTTGGTGTAAAGATATTTTTTATATTTTCTTTGCTTGTAAAGAGTTATTATCAATTTGCAAGTATAAAAAATGCAAGTATAGTTGGTAGTTCATAAGAAAGGTAGATAATAAAACTTAAAAGGGATGGCACAGATTGAAAAAGGCCTTGAGTACCAAGACAAGAGCTCTGAACTTTAACGGGCGCTGGAAACCATCAAAGGTCTTATGTAGGAATATGCTGTGCTCCCACCATCTTAATTAGATCTTATGGAGGTTTGATAGCAAGGGGGTAGGAATATCATTTAGGAGGCTGCTGCTAGTATCCAGGTGAAATGTATGGAGGTTTTGAGCTAGGCTGGTGGGGAGGGTACAGAGAAGAAACATTTTGGAAATAAAATGGACAGAAAGTGTATAAATGGATAAAGAGAGGAGTAGAACTGACACCAAACTTCAAGCCCGATGACTGAGAATAAAGGTGTAATTATGAAGGGAATCCAGGAAGACGTGGGAAGAGTGGTTGGAGTAAGGTTAAAGTGATAGTTTTAGATTGGGTTATTTTGATGTTGAAGTGTTGGCCGACTTCAACACTTCACGACATGTGAAAATGTGCAACAGTCATTGAAAATATGAGTTTGGTGCAAGAAAGAATTATCAGGGCTAGAGCAAGAGATTAGAAATGTTGTGACAGAGCCTGGGACAGGAAATGGAAGAGTCAGGGGATGGAAGGGGAGAAACCACCACTATCACCACCACCATCAGTGGCAGCACTAGCCCCAGGAAAGAGAGACAGAAGAAATGCCAGGAGATGGGAGCAGGTAGAGATGGAAGAATAGGGAGACAGTAGTGAGAGTATAGAGGACATGTGTGGGTAGTTTCCAGAAGAAGACTTGTCTACTTGTGGAAAGCTGAGAAGTTAAGAGAGAGAGGCCTAAAACCATGTCATGAGATTTGGCAGTTGGTTGGGAGAAGACTGGTGAAGTTTAGAGTATAATTTTCATTAGAGTGGTGGGGACAGGAGCCAGAATTCAGGAGTTAAGGAGTGATTAACTGTTGAGGATGCAGAAGTAAGTACATGACACTTTCCAAAATTTGGTGTTGAAAGGGAGGCCAGAGTGGGTGGACAGTTTGGACATGATAGGGGGTCAATTTGAGATCACAGGATTTGGGAAGTTCACAGCATGAACTGGTGATGGTACCAATCATTGTGGTTTGGTAACGGTCTTCAGCGGTGCTGGAACTTCAGGACTGGGAGCAAGGAAGAAACACAGTGGGATTGTTTGAGGTTTGGTGCTGACATTTTAGGTATGGCAGGAGGCCAAGAGACGTAAAGTCTCTTGTTCCCTTGACTCTTAGCTAATTTATACATTCTAATATTGACAGAGTCTGTTAACATCACTTGAAAATGAGTTTAGAGGTCCTGAGAGACTCTTACATGTTCCAGACATCACTCTTCCACTTTGTCTCGTGATTCAAAGTACTCGGGCAATATTTGTGTGTCCATAGTTATCTGGACTGGGGTTATGAAAGGCTCTGGTCCTTTTGACCAAGTCTGTTGCATACTACTGCAAAATGAAAATTAGAAGGATCTGTCTTTTGCCTCTGTATTTTGCAGTTCTCTCTCTGTGTGTGTGTGTGTGTGTGTGTGTTGTGTGTGTGTGTTCGTTCATCTATCATTCATGTGTATGAACAGGCATTTCATGGCTAGCCAACATTTTATAGCCTGGTTATGTATACAGCTCCTTTGGCTAAGGATAAAATTGAAAGCATGGTTGTATTACTTTGGATTTTAGAAGCACATACAGTATACATTTTATCCAAGTAGCATGAAGCATAAGAGAAGACTCACAATGAGGCAAAACAAAGACAGATCATATTGGTGAGAGTGTATACTTTGCCAAGGCCCTAGACTCCTGGAGGTCTGTCTTCTCCCATATAATCCTTTTTGTCTATTTTTATGGATTAATGATTTTTCTTTGGCATTGCCATCTTTCAAGTGCCAAGTTATAAAAGATCTAATTGAAGCATGGAACACATTTTATTGTTTTCCTGCTGCCATTAAATTTGTAAGATGGCTACACCCAGAAAGAAACATTCACTTTCAATCAACATGAGCTTGAGTTCATGGGCCAGCCTTGAGGATATCAAATGGAAACTGCATAGGAATGTATGAGTATTTCCTTTTAAAATTCTGCTTTTAATTTAGGAAAGCTTTTCATCCCTCTGGGATCATAACCTGTTGTGTATAAAGCCCAACCTAATCAAGGTAGATGGTATTGACAGAATGACATAGTTTGAACTTAAGCAGGAGGTCAGCGGGCAGATTGTTTTTTGCTGTATGTACTGTAGTCACTAACAGCAGGACTGGGCAGCTGGTTTTACCAGCGGTATTGTTAAATGGAAAATATGGTATATTA